TGAGTTGATAAATCTCTGAATATGAAGGTCCAAATCAGTGTTGTCCTAAGTGTCGAGTGTAGAAAAATTCAGTAAATTCCACGAACTCTGGGTACGGTTTCAGTCATTAAAAAGTTTGGACAACACTTGACTCTAGATGAAGCTTGTTACATTAAATAGACACTTACAATGTTACTTGGTTGCTGAGCATCATGAAATTTAAGGAATTTTCTGGTCAAGTCGAATTCAAACTTTTTAAAATTCTTAAATTGCAATAAATGCTGCGAGGTTGGAGCCTAAAGTTGTTTTACAAGTTCAACAAAATTTATTTCAGATTAACTTGGTTTAGATCTTCATAATCTTACTACACACTTCAGACTATGCCTTAAAACTTTGATTTACAGTTCTTAATTGAATCCAAACAATTCTTTAAGTCTCTCAGAAGTGTGAATCGAAACCCAAACCTAAAATAGAAGAATCTCGCAGTCCAATTTCAAATCTTGTCAATTTTCAAGCTCACATTAATTAAGTCTCAATATTCAATCGAAATTAAAAAATTAAAATGCTCTAAAACATCGCCAAACATGTAACTGACGAATTTTTATCATCCCCAGAATGACAATGGAAATAAAAGCACACACATCATGATGAACAAAAAAAATTGGAGTAAAAATAAGAAAAAAACTTTGTCATTTACGTTGAATGCAATTCACACAGATTCAATTCTGCTGCTGAACTTTCTGCACTAATTATTTCACTCAAAAAAAAACTTACACAAAAAAAACTTTCTGCTGCTTTTTATCAAGCACTGGAAAACTTTCTGCTTTTTATAATTTTTTAATGAGTGCAATTCGTCTGTTTCATTCCACAGTCGAGAGTGAAAAGATTTTTGCAGGCAAATTAATAAAAAAAAATCTCTTTTTCACATAAGTTGTTCCTTCTCGTTTTCAGCGATAGTATCACGTAGTTTTATATAACTCATAATTTTAAAGATTCACATTTTTTCATTCATTATTCCAATTTATACATTGTTATGGAAATACTTTTTCATGTCCTTGTTCATGCATAGAGTTTATTTTATTTTATGGCTCACTTATTTATGCTGTAACTTTACTTGTTTGTACTTTGTTCTTTGACACTTTTTGCACTGCTGTTTGAAGTCCTTTTGCATTTATTTTTTGTTCAGTTTTTTTTGCTGTAAAGTTGAATGAAGTTTGTTGTAAGCTTGAACTTATTTAAATTTAGAATTAATTATGCTTTTTATTTAAAACTTTTAATTGAATGCTTTTGGAAATTTAAGTTGAAATTTGTAAATTCTAATCTTTTGTTTTGACTTGGACTGGCTGATTTTATTGTTTAAAATTTATTATTTAAAGTGCTACGGCACATGGGTTGGTCATCACTGCTTTTAAATAATCTTTTGCTTTTAAATTTTAAATTTTCAAATAAAATTTCAACCACGAAAAATTTTAAATTATTCAAAAGATTAATTTCAAAAAAGCCGAAAGTTTAAAATTAATTAGATCTAAAATAAGAACCATTCTCAAATGAATGAATTGTTAAACTTTTATTAAATATTTTAAATGTAGTATTAAACTATTTTTGAAATTGATTTGAATTGGAAGTTCAACATTTCAATTTTAAATTAACAACATTGTTTTAAAATTGGTTTTCAAATCGAAATAATGAAATATTAAAGAGACGCTTCAATCAAACTTACAAATTTTAATTCAACTTCAATAAACTCTTTCAAATATTCAAGTTTTCAAGTTACAAATTTTCAATAAAAACTTTCTCAACTTAAACTTATTTTTTGTTTCAAAATTTTTTCAAAAAATCACTTTTTACTTTTATTTTCAAACTTTTTAATCAGTTTGATTTAAAATGTTCACTTTAAACTTTGAAATTTTGTCTTAAAAATAGCTTATAAAGCTACACTAAATTAGTAGTCCACAAATTGCATGGCATGAAATATTCAAAAATTTTAAATTCACGGTCTTCATTTCAGCCGACACTAGATTTCATAATTTTATTCATAAAAGTTTCACAATAAAAAAATGTTTTCAGGAAGCTTATCCTGTCAAGTATGACTTCAGTTTATTTATTTATTTGCTTTCATATTTTTTTAAAAATTTTTCATAATTCACTGTTGTTTGAATTTTACTTTCAATATTCACATTGAGTTGCTTATCAATTCACTAAAAAATCCTCACAAAATCCTCAAATTCATGCTTTAAATTCTTGTCTACGTCCACAAAACTTTGCATTATATTTATTTTTATCCATCTTATCATCAGCCGCAATAAATGTTTTCAATTTCTTCTTTCTACTTTTTTTATTTACTTTTACAAGAATCAGAAGTAAAAAAGTCCATAAGAACCGAGAACATCAACATTTACGTGTGTATTCAAACGCGATTTTAGATTGACTGAAGAGAGAAATTGAATGTGAAGGGAAAGCAGCAAAAAAGAAATTCTTTATCAAATTTTCGGAATTGTGGAAAAAAATACTCAACATTTGGCAGTTATCACAATAGAGCATAAGCATAAAAATCATGAAAATACGATTTTTATAGTAGACTTATAAATGTTTTCCCATCGTGTGAGAGAATTTTCCAACAGAGCAGCAAGACGAACAGGGAGAATGTTTTTGATATAGAAATTTTTAACGGTATTAAGGATGGAAACAATGTGGAAAATGTGAAAAGCATTTGTAGGACTGCAGGAGATTGTGAAACATTCTGGATGTTTTATGTGAGAAATTGGGAAGCGTTTTGTTGTATCAAAAGTTGTGGATTATTGAATTTGATGACTTGCATCTGTTTTGAACCAAGAACATGAAAATACTATATTTTATTACTTCCACTCAAAGGTTTTCTAATTCTTATAGATTTTTAAAGACAATTCATTTTAAGATAGCATTTATAATCGATAGCTGATTAAGTTATGTGCTTTAGTGTCGAGATTAGGAATTATTGTAAAAACTGATAAGAAAAGGACGATCAAATTTACAAAAATATGTTTGAACCAGTATCAAAAATCTAATATTGAAATTAAACGAATATTTTAGATCAACTTCTTAAATCCTAGCACATTAATATGAACCAAAAACATTGAAAAACATTGAAAAACATTGAACAATCAACCTAAAACATTGAAAAACATTGAACAGTCAACCGAAAACATTAAAAAACTTTGAAAATCAAACAAAAACTTTGAATATTCAACCTAAAACATTGAAAATTCAACTGAAAACATTGAAAAATCAACAGAAAACATTGGAAACAACCAAACATATCCTTTTAAAACAACCACTTTGATCCAATAATTCCTAACAGTGTAAAACATAAAACAATCAATCTGTTCCACTCCTTCCTCATAAAATTCATCAAGCGGGAAAATTCTCATGGGATGACGCAATGAATAGACAAAAAATTTCCCAAAAAAACCACAATTACAATCTATTTTTATTATTTCATGCTGGGGTTGGTGACTGTTTGTTGCTTTATTTAAATCTTCTCAACAATCATCATCTGATTTTATCAGATTATTGTCATTATTATTATCATTGTCATACTCCGTAACAATCATGTGCTAGTGAATGTCCTAAGGAAAAGGAAAAATAAACAAAAATGTGTAAGTATAATTCAAGAATAATAAAGCATGACTATAGCCTTCCAGCACTAGCAACAATAACACAATTCATATTGTTATTGTAAGGAATACGATGGAAGCTATATTGTGTGTGAATTATTAGATTTCTACCCTAATTCCATATCACAATTACGAATTTTAAACAGATTATTATTATTATTATTATTGAATGGGGGAATTAAATGCTGTAAAAGCAAATGATAAGCGCAACTTATTAATGATTGTTTGGAGTTCTTGGTAGATTTTTTACGCACTGGCAATAATTTTTATGTTAATCTAGTATTTGCTTATAGATTGCGATTGAATTATGCTGTAGTAATTTAAATGAATCATGATTCACGGATAACACAAGTCGGATAATCGAGACGAAATCCTGCGTTAGAACGATGCGGGGATGGATCGCCAAGGGTGCGGAACTACTCAAAATAATCAAAAATGATCGAAAAATGATCAAAATTTAACAAAAATAATCAAAAATGATTAAAATCTAATTTATCAGTTACCCCCATCTTTGGAAGTAACCTATAAGGTCGCAAATAAGTTGCAAATCAAATATTGAAAAAATTAAAATTTTACTTTTAAAAACACAAAAATAAATCAAAATCTAATCATTTTAAAATAAAATGTGACAAATTTACCAACACAAACTCAATTTAAAGACTGAAAAATCATTGATCATTTAACAAAATTCTCATTTCCAATTTTCCTCCCGAATCTTTAAAGATTCTGACTTTAATTCGAAAAATAATTGCGAAATAATAAATAAAACGACAGAAAGAAATCAAAAAGAAAAGAAACATTTTTGTTTCATTTAATTTATTATTGAAATTGTAATTAAATCGTTTCACCTGAACAACTGTTACACTTCTGTTCTTTAAATTGAGATAACAAATGCTTTAATGTTGTCAAATATTCATTACAAGAAGTTATAAGTTAAATGATAAACAAGGTATGAACAATAAACACGTAAAGAAAGAAGGATTCTGAAGATGGAAGGAAGAGAAAGTTTCTAGAGGTGGAAACTAAGGAGAAAATCTCATTTTGTTATTTAGGATTTGGATTTTTTCTTTTGGTAGATTTTTCGGGGAGGATCACTGAAGGTTCGTTTAGCTTACAAGCTAGTTTCGAAGTCTATACTTTTTGAGCCTTTAGCTAACCTTATTAACTTTAAAAGACTTCAAACTCAATAATGCTTTCTTAAAGTTGTAAATACCACTTTGCATCCCAAACCTCATCACAAATCCCCATAACAGCACAAAATAATTCAAACAACAAGTTTCCAACTCTAGGAACAGAATCAGGTATGAATTGCAAAAACAACAAACTTTTCCGCTCTTATTTTTTCAGTTGTTATTGTTCCTCCTTGTTGTTATAATTAAAACAACGCTCTGAGCTGTCTTTTAATTATATCATTTGTAGATAAAAGGCAGTGAATTTTGAGAAAATTCAAACAGTTCAATTTATCATTTCCAATACGACAGAAGAAGTAAAATTTAGGGCAAGGATCGAAAAATAAAAAAGATACAAAAAGAAAAATGTCAAACAATTTTGTAATTTGCTTCAATGCATTAGAAAATCGATTTTTTGAGGTTAATGCAATCCATGAGGTCGATCATCTATATCGTCCGTATTACTATCGTCTCAGCTTAAGGCTAAATTTCTATAATGGGGACATCAACATGAGCAACATCGACGAAATGAGAAAATTGTGCTTTAGGAAAATTACAAAATTGATGACAATACAGAATATGTGGCAGAATCATCATAGTTTTTATGTTATCGATTATGAGATACGAACCGTACCAAGGAGGTCGAATGAACAATTTCAGCAAAACAATAATGAAAGTGATAGGCGGGAGTATGATGACGACAGTGATGAAAGTGAGAACTCATATTATGTGAGTACGACAAGCAACGATTCAGCATATATCTCGCCTACATCTGCTGCCGAAACATCTAATGATAGTGATCATTTGTCAAATTCTAGTGCTTATTCGTCTGCATATGAGGACAATGAAATTGAAGAACAATAAAGATTCTTTTTTTAATAATTTAAGATATTTTTTGTGATGATTTTCTTATAAATTTGGAATCCTCAAATTACGTCTACTTCTTAGATGTTGACTTTTGTTCAATATTAATCATTTTAATCAGTTGAGCTGAAGTGGCTCGGTAGCGGAATGGTTCAGTTTTTCGGGACCTAATTATTGCAATACCGACACAGCGATCATGGGTTCGAGACTCGGCATGGGAAATTTTTTCACTTGTCCTTTTTCGAATCATATGTACTGGAAATGAGGCTCACAGCCTTCCTTTGTAGGCTAGAGGCAGAAATGTCATCAAAGAAGTGGTTCGGATTCTACTATAAATTGTAGGTCTAGGTTTGAGTGCAGTGGTTTGACGCATCCTCACTCGTGAAGCACTCATTAGCTACGAATCGCCCTAGCGCACCTCTGAATCAGAACTGAGTTCCACGCCCTCGAACCAAATAAAAATTTCACCAGAAATTCAAAAAAGCCATTTTTCAATCGTAAATTGAAATAAATTCTCACAAAATTCAGAAAATTTACTCAAGCTTCAATTTTCTATCACGAAATATTTCTCCATGAAGCAAATGCATAGATGAATGCTCATGTATTCATGAAATAAGATAAAATACAAAATTGAATAGAGCAACATTGAATGAATAGAATTGCTCATCGAATGGGAGAAGAGAAGATGAAGAAATAATCAAAATGACAAGAATCCTTGAAAATCAAAGAAAATTTTGCTCGTCTATTCAAGATGATAAAATTGAAATTCTTAATTGCCATGAGTGCTTGCTGTTCCGAATCAGGTGAACAAGTGGCCCATCAACATTTTCTGAGATTTTTCATGCTCACTCAATAAGATGTATGTTGTTGAGATTCAATTGATGAAATGCTTCTTGAAAATTGGTGTTGGATGTTGGGATATAAATTGAAGTTTATGCTTTTGAAGGTTCGTTTTCAATTTATTTTAACCATCCTTGAGTCCTTGTCTTAACATTTCGAGTGTGTCGAAGTTGAGTGTGTTTCTAAAAATATCATGACCCTCAAAATTATGTTTGTACAGTCTTCAATGCTTCTTATCTGTCAAGAAGCTCTTTGAGGAAGGGAATTAAGGAACCGTTCACTTAAGACGTCCATGGGACAGCATCAGCAAGCAAAGAATAATAGAAATTCCTGGAAATCCATTGTTCTTTTTTGAAAAATGACCGTTAATTTTAGACGTCATAAGTGAACGATAATTAAGTAACTTTGGAAAATTTCATCAAAAAAACACTAATAAAATTTTAAGTATCCCTTTTCGTAGCACCTGAAACCAGGCTCGCTTAAGAGGGGACAAGACCCTCCTGGCTACGCGCCTGACCAAGCTTGTTAACCAAAGTTGTGTCCTTGAAATTCTGAAATCTATAATTTTCCAAAGCCGTAACTTACTGAAAATTGCGTTCCTTCTAAAAACTTAAAAATCTACAAAATCAAAAATTTAAAAACAATTCCAAATATTTTTTAAAATTTTTATTAATTAAGCTACAAATTTATTTAAAAAGTATATTTTACAAATGTTTTTAAATCAACAATAAAACTTATTCCGAACCCAAGTGAAGCTTCTTCTTTGTATACATTGTTCTGTGTCGTGAACTGAACACAATCGGGCTGGTATGATTAAATGCAAACAACAGCATTTGATTTTTACTGTCATTAGAAATATCAAGCATTCCCTCATTTTGCGGCTTCATTTTGTCAATCGTTTTAATTGTTGGAATTGGAGTTGAAGCCACAAAATTCAAAATCTCATTGTCCTTAACGTCACAATCAACATTATCTCCATCATTTATTTCTTCCAATGTTGAACTCGATGGAAATGATGATGAAATCAATGCCGTTATATTCGATGGTGTGCAGTCACCGTACTCATTGTCATTATAAATGTTTATCTGATTCATAATTTGATTTATTATGTGCATATTTACTTCCGGCTGCTTCCATATACATGTAAATTTTACATTGTCAGCAAAACATTCGATACTTGTCTGTTCATTGCTGGTGTTGCTGTTGTTTCCGTTTATTTTTGGGATCGTTATCAGAGATGATCCGAAGTTGTTTGTAATTTCTTTGGTATCTTCTTGTTGGCTCATTATTTTGGCAGATTTAACTTACTTTTTAAGGTTAAAACTTACTTTTTAAGGTTAAAACTTACTTTTTAGGTTAAAACTTACTTTTTAGGTTAGTTTATTAAGTTTTTAAATTAAATAAGCTTTTTTAAGATTTTATAGACTATGATTGACTATATTCTTTTGAGATTAAGTTTCAGATACTTGCACTAGACTAGCTGAATCTTATATGATAATTATAATTATTATTTGTTGATATTTATATCCAAAAAAGGTTCAATCTCACGCAATATCAAGTCAAACTTTTATTTGTTGTCAAATTTAAATAATGACAGGTACTCGTGGATTCTTATCCAATGATCTGACAGGTCATTTACATAAACTTTTGCTTCTGTTTATTCATTTTGTTTATGTAAACAGATTAAAATGTTTGTGGCTTTTCCGACTGAATATAGGTTGAGGTAGCTGAAACTACCACATAAAATAATCAAAATTTTAATGATACGCAATTAAAATTGATAGAAATATTGCAAATAATAAACAGATGGAAAGTTTTGTGTTGTGATATTTCAATTGTAAATATAGCACAGGTAAATTAAAATTTGTGTATTCATAATTTATGATGTTTTATTTACATGTAAATTGGGAATTGACATATTCATTAAATCTGATAATTTTGAGGTTTAAATGTTCCCTATTTTGGCAAAGTTAAAGCTTTAATTTTTTTGTATGTTCAACAATGGGAATAGATGATTTTTACTCGAATAGCACAAGTCGGTTAGTCGAATGAAAATCCAGTACCAAGCCGGCGTAAATCTGACATGATTCTGGAATCAAAGCTGGATTTCTATTCAATTAACTGACTTGTTTAATTGATTTTTGGTTTGAAATATTAAATTTCTTGTTTGAATTGACTTCAATCAATGAAAATAGAATTTAAGGAATCGAACCAAAAATGTCGAATTAAGCCACGACAGTATGAAATGTCCTCCAAGTTCAAGAACTAGCGCAAATTTACAAATTACCAACAAATCAAAAAAAATCATATTAAAGAATCCTGCAACATAATCTTTAAGAATTACACAATTCCATGTTCCGGTATTAAAGACAACCTTAACTGGAACAGAAAAACAGCAACTTTGTCTCATACAAGACGAAGTAAAATGTTTGCCAATTTTTTCCAGGCATTAACCCAGCAATGGCTAATTATTTTATGATCCGGAAAATGAACTAATTTTTTATGCCATAAAACAATGACCTATAAAAGCTTGATACAGTCGCTGTTGTTGTTTATTTTATGATTATAATGTTGTAAAGTTGAAGGATAACTTTTAAAATGAATTATTATTTTTGGGTTGAATTTAAGAATTGACTTAAAATTCAGCAACCTTAAAGTTGTTGCAATCTCAATTTCCATTCCAAAAACCAATATAAAATCATAACAATTCGATCAAAAAGCCATCCTTAATTCACTCAATAAAATAATTTCGAAATATTAAGCACAAAAAACCCTTCAATAATCATTAAATAAACAACTGCAAAATGCCATGCATAAGATATAAAAATAATTTGTTCAACGGATAAAATCCCCCCAAAATTTGTCCATAGTGAAAAATCCTTGTCAAGTAAAAAAAGAGAAGCCGAAAAAAATCAATTCTTTTATTATTTTTATTTTAAGGAAGTAAAGCCTTTTCAGATAACGTGGATGGTTTAAGGTTATTTTTCTGCTGATCTGGGAAGTTTCCAAATTGTAAGAGAGAACGCGCGACCATCATCATGTTAGAGTTACTGCATCACTCTTTTTTCCATCCTTTTTTATTCGCTTTTTTTGTGTCCTTTTTTCATCCAAAATCGAAAGCAAAATAAAACAGAAGACCAGAAGAAGTGGAAAGAACCATAAAAAAATCTTCTCTTTTCTTTGTTTTTTTCACTGATTATCTAAATGGTCGAATAAGCATTATTTGAAGACATTTATATGATGAAATTGAAATGATATTGAACAAAACTTAATTTTCTTAGCAATTTAAGCTAACGATGATGATATAAAAAAGCTCTTTTCTTTCCCCCTTTTTCTTGCAGCTAGGGGTGGTCAGTTTTTGGGGATGAGTTGAAAATAATCGAAATTTTTGAATTTTTATTATTATTATTATTATTATTTGTTTATTCAGATTCTTTAGATTGCAAAGGAAAAGCCATTCTAAACAGTTTTAACAGTAACTGTTGAAATCGGCATAAAAACCTTTGGTCTTAGAAATAAATTAACAAAAGAATTGTAAATATGAGATTCAGCGTTCAAAGAAGAACATTAAAGATCTCAAATTTGTAAAAATATTAACATTATTGACATACAATGGGATTTAACGGTTTTTTCAGTATTTAAAATTACAAATGGTGAAATTGGTAACTAAAAAGTTTTGCAAAAATAAGCCAAGCTAGTGTTTACATTAAAATAATTTGAAAAAAAAAAAAATAACTGACTTTGGTGCAAAAAATCCAATAGTTAAGCATTTGGACATTGAAGAAGATACGAAGAAACTTTGAGAACCATTGAGGGAACCAGCATACAACATGATACTAGGTGAATTGTTCCAATGAAGCATATATGAAGAAGTAGATATTGTTAATTTGTTTTTTTATGTTTTAGGTCAACTTTCAAGCTTCTTCAGGAAATTGGCAGATAGAAAGACTGACATCATATCTTCATTACGGATGTAGCATTTTAGGGCCCATTTAAAAGCATGCATTTGTGGTAAGTTTTTTAAATCTTTTGGAATTTCATTAAAAATTGAGACACCAAATGACGTAATTCTTTTCTTTCCATAGTTTGATTTTGATAGCGGCTTTCTTAATCCACCAGTACTTCTCGTTCTGTTACTAGCTGCAACTTTATCCAAAACTATGTTTGAGTGGATTTTTTTGGACAGGTTGCTGTAGATGAATGTTGCAGCATTGACATAACTAATTGCTCGAACTGGAAGACAATTCTGGACCAGGTGAGTGTACATATTTATCCTGTTCTCAAGAAAGTTGATGTTAAACACACTTCTAAGCGCCCTGTTCTGAATTTTCTGAATAGGATTCAATACTTTTTCGCATGCAGTGCCATAGATTGTTGACATATAGTTGAGATGTGATTCAAAGAGTGATTTGTAAATTAGTTTTTTGGTAGATTGCGGTAACTTGCTTTTGAGCTTCCATAATATTCCTGAAATTGAGGCAAGTTTTGATTCAAGAGCTTGACAGTGCCTATCCCATTTTAGATGTTGATCCATAAATAAGCCTAGATATTTCACACAGTCCACTCTCTTGATAACGTTGATACCTATGCTGATTGTGTCATTATCATGGATTTTCATGTATGGTGAGTGAAAGATTGTGTAGATCGTCTTTTCAAAGTTCAAATATAGATGCTGTTCATTGAAAAAATTCAGGATTACGTTCATATCATGGGTAATTTTGTCGTCTACCTTTTCATTCTTTTCGTGACTGTTAACTAGCACTGCATCGTCTGCATACAGATATAACTTTCCAGTAATGTTTAAAGATGTAATATGATTGAAGAAAATAATGAACAGAAGGCTTCCCAAAATTCCACCTTGAACTACTCCGTAATCTATACATTTTTCATCACTTGTTGCTGAATTTATTTTTACAATTTGCTTTCTTGATCTTAGGTAGCTTTCAATGAGTTTAAGAGGATTTCCACGAATACCAGAGAGTTCAAGCGTGTGAATAAGACAGTCTATATCTACCAGATCAAAGGCTTTCTTAATATCCATACACACAGCACTGACTTTCATTTTATTGTCTAGTTTACTTTTGATTTGTTCTACGAGTTCTAATGCAGCAGTTTCAGTTCCACTTTTAGCTCTAAATCCAAATTGATACGGTGACATTATCTTTGCTTTATTAAATACAAAGTCATATATTCTTGTGTAAAGTGACTTCTCAACAATTTTGTTAAAAATTGTAAGCATAGAGACTGGGCGATAGTCGTTCATTGATGATTTATTACCAGACTTATTAATTGGAATCACTAATGCTGTTTTGAAGCAACGAGGATATACTGATGTCTCATATATACGACGAATCATGTGGCAAAGAAAGGGAACTAATTCATTCGAGAGATGCTTGACTATCGATGGACATATTCCATCAATACCTGGAGATGAGTTCTTAAGACCTTTGATAATCAGGCTAATTTCGTCTTCTTCAATATCATCCAAAAACATTGATTGCATAACAGGGTTGAATTTGACTTTTGTTGAGCTTACACGTGATTGACTTACAGTAGAAGTTATGCAATTTATGAAATTTTCATTGAATATTTTGGCAATTTTTTGGTCGTCAGTAACAATTTTACCCTCATTGTCAAATATGGCCTTAATTTTTTCGTCCTTTGATCTTCCCAGTATCTTGTTAATATTTCGCCATAATTTTTTGGAATCAGGTTCATTACAGAGCGATGAAAATGATTTCTTTTCATCAGATTTGAGTGATTTACGTAGTCTTAGAGAAATGAATTTAAGCTTTGATTTTAAGTTATATAAAGCCGTTTGAAATGATTGTTTCTTCCTGGATTTTTTGATTTTTTTGATGAGTTTTTCTTTTTGATCTAGTAATTTCATTGTGTTAAAACTAATCCAATCACATATCTTGTTTTCCTGACGAGTATGAAATTTAAATTGTGTTGTTGAATTTTTGATTGCTTGCTGTGTAATTATTGTCAGGTTTTCCGCTATCGTATTTGGGTTTTTTAGTTCAAAAAATGAATCTTTTGCCAGCTTTTGAAATTCATCTTTCAGTTTTGAAAAGTCTGTTCTGCTTACAACTTTAAGTATCTTCTTGTTTTTGATTTTGACATCCTTAATCACTGAAACTAACATATTGTGGTCGCTGAATTTAGGATCAATACATATCGTGTGATTCTGAATTGACATTTCCATTTCGCTATCACATGTCAGATGATCAATTATTTTATTACTTGCATTTCTGGTCGGTTGGTTATTTGATATAACCATGTCATAAGACTTGAGAATGTTTAAGTATGATTTCGAATCTGCTGAATCATCATTTGCATTGATATTGAAGTCACCGACCAGAATTGTCAGTTCATTAGAACTTAGCTCATTTTCCATATCGTTCATGAATTCATTAATATTATTTCTTTCAGGTGGTCGGTAAACATTGATGAATTTAAAGGTTTTATTGCCATTTTTCATGT